GCCTGGAGAGTTACAGTCCATGGAGTTGCAAAGAGTTGGACATGACTGAGTGACTGAGCACACTATTGCAAAATGCTTGCCTAAGGCGGTGCCAGTGCAAATTATAGTATATCAGACCCCATGTGAGGCACTTGCTGTATTACACTAGAGACAAGCCCAGTTGTCGTACATTATCCACAGTATTCTCAACTGGGATCATGAAATCCAGGCCTATCAGAGCATAAACATGTCACGATCTCATCTGTGTAGACAGGGGTCATGTGCGGTTACTTTTTACTATCTAGAAAATAAGAAACTTGTTTCATTAAAAAATCCAAATCCCCTATACAGTTGTCACATTTTTAAAAAAGGTTAACGTGAGTCAGGTTGCCAAGGACTACTAGTGATCTTAGAGGGACAGAGGAGGAGAACCGTAAATTACCAGAATACTTTTCCTGGGTCTACAACACGTTAAATTGGCCCTTCTCCTCCCCCCACCAGCTGCCACTCCCAACCTGTAACCCCTTAGGCGTACACGTAATTTCACTGTAATTTAAGCAGAGCTGGTTGTTTTTTATGGAAAGTTAAATGAAAGCACACATGTAGGCATGATCATCTTCTCAACTTCCGAGCCTAAAACCCAACAGAAACATTTCTCCTCCATGGAAGGGGACTGTGGACACAGAGGGGCCAGCAGTTCCGTGGAGGAGGTCAGGTCCCAGAGAGCTGTCACCCACCACTCCAGGAGCACGCACTGACTCCACTCTCTCCGCATCTTCAAAGGAGGAAAATCAAATCTGGCTCCGGCCAGAGCTTCGTGCCTCCTCTCTTCCAGTCTTCACCCAAAACCTCCCTTCAAGGGGGACTTGCACATGCAGAATGAACAGTGGTTAAGGGCGATCATGGTCTGCATTTTGCTTCTAAGGCCCTGCACAACCCTGAAATCTGCTTTTTGAAACCGGCAGTGGGAAGGGCCGTATTTCACTGCTCCCAAACGCCCTTGCCAGTCTTCTCTTTCAGCCTCCATCTAAAAGCTTTACTTTTCACGCGCTTTCAGTGCAGGTCACCACGGATAAGAAGGAAGAAACCCAGGGCTTGGAGGGCGGGGCTACCAGGAGATTCCCTCCCCCGACTCCAAGGTCCTTTGCCCACCCAGGATCCTGCTCATTTGAGAAAACAAAGGCCAGCAGCGGGGAGAGGAGGAGAAGGGGGCACATTCCTGGGACTTAATGGTGACGCCTCCACGGTGCATGGAATCCCAGCGGGCTGTTATCTCCGTCTGCTCCAGAGCCCGGGGGAGGGGGAACAGGGGAGGCCCCCAGATTCCATCTCACTGACATAGAAAGGGCAGCTGGTGCAATTTCCCTTTAATTTCCCTTTAAATAATGTTTAGTGCCTGCGGCCCATGTAATCTGCCCTCCAGAACAAAAGGCAGGGAAGGAGGCCTGCCAAAGCGCCTGAGGCCAGGAGGTGTGAGCCCTGACCGTTTCTTGGTCAGGCCTCAGCACCCCCACCTCAACTCCACACACACCCCCCACCCATTCCCACCGGCTGCTCCCCCAGTGCCCATGGCCGCCCAGCCCCACCGCCTGGTTTCCCAATGAACAAATGAAGATTGTTTCCTGTGCTCCTGGGAGGTCAGGTCCTGAGCCTTCTCTGACCTACAGGCTTGGTGCCCTAGGAGAGGTGCGGGGGTGTCGCCGCGCTCACCCTCAACCCCCAGCCAGGAGCCCAGGTTCTCTCTCGAGTCCCCCAAGGATCTGACTCTTTATTTCTAATGACAAAACCACAAGAGCCTAGTGATGCTAGTCCTCAAGTCATTGACTGGCTGGGGAGGAGAGGGCATAAAAACAGCAGGTGGAGTATAAATCCTACACGTTAGACACTTCATGTCTGAATTCCACCTGTTAGAGCAATGTACCCAAAACATATATAATAAATGCATTTGGTTTTAGTGCTGCTATGGATTATACATGGATTTATATTTATACACACATATGCATATCAGTATTGTAAACTGCAGGAACAGCTATTCAGGGTCTCTAGTGTTAGTGTGACAAATGGCTTCTGTTCTCAAGAAGCATGTGCCCTGTGGATGCCATCTGGGCGCCTGGTGATTCCTTGGAAGTTCTGGCACCTCAATCTGTTTAAATATACACATTAATATATCATTCTGGGATAGGCTTCCCAAGTGGCTTAGCAGTAAAGAATCCTCCTGCCAAGCAGGAGGTGCAAGTTCAATCCCTGGGTTGGGAAGGTCCCCTGGAGGAGGGCATGGCAACCCACTCCAGTATTCTTGCCTGGAGAATGCCATGGACAGAGGAACCTGGCAGGCTACAATCAATGGGGTCAAAAAGATTCAGATACAACTAATTAAAAACAACAACAACAAAAGTCTCGGGTGTCTCCTTATCAGCGCCCCATGACTGACTCACAAGTCTCACATTTATTCTGCATCCCTGCTCCCCATGGGATATTTCACATCCGCGATCCAGGAAATGCAGGTGATAAAAGCAAGTGCATTCCACATCAGTTAACCCATGGAGGCCACACAACTGACCCAGTGCATCTGGACATGGAGCCCAGGTTCCAGGTGAGCAGGTCACTGCTGGGCCATGTTCAGTTCAGTCGCTCAGTCGTGTCCGAGTCTTTGTGACCCCATGGACTACAGCACATCAGCCTTCCCTGTGCATCACCGACTCCCAGAGCCTGCTCAAATTCATGTCCATTGAGTCGGTGATGCCATCCAACCATCTCATCCTCTGTCATCCCCTTCTCCTCCTGCCTTCAATCTTTCCCAGCTGTAGGATCTTTTCAAAGGACTCAGCTCTTCTTATCAAGTGGCCAAAATATTGGAGTTTTAGCTTCAGCATCAGTCCTTCCAATGAATATTCAGGACTGATTTCCTTTAGAATTGAATGGTTTGATCTCCTTGCAGTCCAAGGGACTCTCAAGAGTCTTCTCCAACACAACAGTTCAAAAGCATTAGTTCTTCAGTACTCAGCTTTCTTTATAGTCCAATTCTCACATCCATACAGGACTACTGGAAAAACCAAAGCTTTGACTAGACAGACCTTTATTGGCAAAGTAATGTCTCTGCTTTTTAATATGCTGTCTAGGTTGGTCATAGTTTTTCTTCCAAGAAGCAAGCTTCTTTTAATTTCATGCCTGCAGTGACCATCTGCAGTGATTTTGGAGCCCAGGAAAATTAAAGTATGTCACTATTTCCATTGTTTGCCCCTCTATTTGCCATGAAGAGATTGGGACTGGATGCCAAGATCTTAGTTTTTTGAATGTTTAGTTTTAAGCCAGCTTTTTCACTCTCTTCTTTCCCTTTCATCAAGAGGCTCTCTAGTGCTTCTTCGCTTTCTGCCATAAGTGTGGTGTCATCTGCATATCTGAGGTTATATTTCTCCTGGCAATCTTTATTTCAGCTGGTGCTTCACCCAGTCCAGCATTTCACATGATGTACTCTGCATATAAGTTAAATAAGCAGGGTGACAATATACAGCCTTGACATACTCCTTTCCCAATTTGGAACCAGTCCATTGTTCCATGTCCAGTTCTAACTGTTGATTCTTGACCTGCACACAGATTTCTCAGGAGGCAGGTCAGGTGGTCTGGGATTCCCATCTCTTGAAGAATTTTCCACAATTTGTTGTGATCCACACAGTCAAAGGATTTGGTGTAGTCAATAAAACAGAAATAGATGTTTTCCTGGAATTCTCTTGCTTTTTTGATGATCCAATGGATGTTGTCATTTGATCTCTGGTTCCTCAGCCTTTTCTAAATTCAGCTTAAACATCTGGAAGTTCTCAGTTCACGTACTGCTGAAACATAGCTTGGAGAATTTTAAGCATTACTTTGCTAGTGTATGAGATGAGTACAATTGTGCAATAGTTTGAACATTCTTTAGCATTTCCTTTCTTTGGGATTGGAATGAAAACTGACCTTTTCCAGTCCTGTGGCCAATGCTGAGTTTTCCAAATTTGCTGGCATATAGAGTGCAGCACTTTCACAGCATCATCTTTTAGGATTTGAAATAGCTCAAGTGGAATTCCATCACCTCCACTAGTTTTGTTTGTAGTGATGCTTCCTAAGGCCCACTTGACTTCACATTTCAGGATGTCTGGCTCTAGGTGAGTGATCACACCATCGCAGTTATTTGTGTCATTAAGATCTTTTTTGTATAGTTCTTCTGTGTATCCTTGCCACCTCTTCTTAATATCTTCTGCTTCTGTGAGGTCCATGTCATTTCTGTCCTTTATTGAGCCCATTTCTTTGCATGAAATGTTCCCTTAGTATCTCTAATTCTGAGAACACAAGCCAGGCAGGACAAGGGTATGACAGCGTCACCAGCAGAAGCACTGAGCTGGTGCCCAAGGCAAGACCCAGACATCCGCAAGGGAGGGCTCCCTTCATCTCCGTGACACAGTTAAACACTGGTCACAGTACTTCGCTGGTGTCCAGTGGTTAAGACCCTGTTCTTCCACTGCAGGGAGCACAGGTTCAATATTTTGTTGGGGAACTAACATCCCACATGCCTCACAGTACAGCCAAAACAAAATAAAGCTATATTAAAATAAATAAATAAAATGGTGGTCACATGGCCAAGTGTGTGACTTTTTAAGTTCACCTCCTTAAAATGCTGCTTTTCTTGAATATAAAACAGTGATGATTAAGATATTCGATAAAGACGAGTGACGAGGAGCAGATAAGATACTGCTTGTGAACTGTGTTACTCAGAATCCAGGCACAAGGGATCTTGAGAAACGGTATTACTGTCATGGCAGTCAGCAAGGTCCCCTACCTCGTGCCCAGGAGCACCCCCATAATGTTCTCTCTTTAACATTTTAGAAGGTGCCAAAAGAAGATGATTCCAAGGGAAAAACAAAGCCCTGTGATTAACACATTTGTTTCTATGTAAGTTTAAATTAAGACTTGAAATCTTTCATGCATCATTCTGCGCGGACATCTCCTCCCTGACCTCTGCTGTGGCCGAGCCCCCACATTCCCCACAGGGACAAGGGGGTCCTGATGGCCACGCTGATCCGCACAGACTGCCGATGCCTCAAGAAAAGGCATGTTTCTTCCCACCCCAGGCCCCGAGAGGCCCATTTACACAAAGATGCTGAACTTGAACTGGAGGGCTACAGGCGTTTTGAGATCGAGACACCACCTCCGTGTGGTATCACAGAGGGGGCCCACCGACAGCCCTTCTCCCGACACGGAATGAGTCCTGAGTGCTCGGAGCAACAGCAGGTAGGATCTGTGTCTGTTTGAAGACGACGAGAGGGAGACTGAGGCTCGGGGAGCTGCTGTCAGCTATCTGTGGACACGGGTGGATGGCCCCACAGTGCAGGGTGAGTGGCCACTTCCTGGAGCCCAGGTCCTTCTCTGCCCGCCTCCCTCACAGAAGAAAGGTCTTATTTCAGAGCAGCTTGGTTTCCGGCTGTCCAGTTCTTCACGGATCACTGAGATCACATCTACCCAACTTCACACTCCAGCCACTATTTATGAGTGGTGTTTACAGGCCCCAGAGATCGCCTGGCAGTTATCCACACAAACCCGACCAGAGCCATTGTGAGTCGTTAATCGAGACCCAACACAGGGCGCCTCCATCCCCATGTGCGGTGGTCCACCTCTGGGCTCATCAAGGGCACCTTGAACGTCAGCTTGGATTTGTCAGCTCTCGTCACCAGCCTCCCAGTGATGACAATCAACAGCAGAGCTGAACTCAGCCAGAGAGGCCGCACAGCAGGAAACCGTGGGGAAACATTGAAAACAAAACCAAAACGGAGACAGAAAAAACCCTGTCAATTTTAAGAAAGATTTCAACAAAAATAAGACTTGTCCCCACCGATGTAATGAAGCACCCAGACCAGGAGGCTGTGAGTCAAGCCCGCGCATCAGCCCCGCCTCAGCCAAGCCCGGGCTCCAACCCGGCTGGACCCGGGCCCCCTGGGGCCCCGGTCCTCCCCGCGGACCTGCCACAGCCCTCAGGCTGTGTCAGCCACACAGCTAATGACCTGTTGGTGCCCACACTTCTCACCTCTCACAGCCGGGCCTTGCACAGCTGGGCTCCCGCTGGCCCAGCCCTGTAATTTAGTTCAACAGCTTTACGGACGAGAGGAAACAGTGAGTGCCCTGGAGCCCCCACACTTGCTCCAGGAGTTCGCTCCATCCCAGGCTGGAGATACACGCCAAGTATTTCAGGCAAATGGCGTGGGCTGGTCAGGCCCAGCTGGACACTGGGCACCACAAGCTCTGTGCTTCTAGTTATGGGGGGAGGGATGTGTGTGTATGTGTGTGTCTGTGTGTATGCATGTGTCTGTATGTGTGTATATGTGTATGTGTGTCTGTGTATATGTGTGTGTGTATATGTGTCTCTGTGTGTCTATATGTGTGTGTGTATGTGTCTTGTGTGTCTATATGTGTGTGTGTCTGTGTATGTGTGTTTGTGTGTATATATGTGTCTGTATGTGTGTATGTGTGTGTCTGTGTTTCTGTATGTATATGTGTTTGTGTGTGTATATGTGTATGTGTGTGTATACATCTGTGTGTGTCTGTGTATATGTGTGTGCCTGTATTTGTGGGTGTATGTGTGTATATGTGTCTCTGTGTGTATATATGTGTATTTGTGTCTGTATGTATATGTGTGTGTCTGTGTGTATGTGTCTGTGTGTATATCTGTGTGTCCATGTGTCTGAGTCTATGTGTGTATATGTGTCTCTGTGTGTATATATGTGTATGCATTTGTGTCTGTGTGTATATGTGTGTCTGTGTGTGTATATGCATGTATCTGTGTGTATGTGTGTATATGTGTGTCTATATGTATGTGTGTATATGTGTCTATGTATGTCTGTGTGTGTGTTTATGTGTGTGTATACATGTGTATGTGTGCCTGTGTGTGTGTGTCTATGTATGTGTGTGTGTGTGTCTGTGTATGTGTGTGTGTGTGAGAAAGAGAGAGAGACAGAGAGAGGGAGGAGCCTGCCCCCGGGGTGGGTGGGTGGTATGAGCAAGTGCACATGTGATGCTTCGAGAAACATGGGAGGTATTTTTTATAAATAAGCACAAGCTCTGCCCCCAAACCTGTGTTTGGGGACCACTCCCCACCCTTACACAGAAGCCCTGAAGTCCATGTTGGCTGGTAGGGGAGCCCCAGGCCTGCAGGGGAGTTGCTTCAGCCCCCCACTCTGTAGCTTCAGAAACTCCCCCAGCCTGGGCAGAATGGAGGGGCTGCCTCTCCCAGAGCCCCTGACCCGGCCCGGGTGGCAGTGTCCTCTCAGTGAAGACCCCGAGTGCCCTGCATGCAGACCTGCAGGGCAGCCATGCTAGAGACATGTGAGGCTTCAAAGCAGTTCCCTGTGCCACGTTCTCCCTCTGCACCCCCTCAGCACCCAGGGCAGGAGTCTTCAGGGGAGGGTGTGGGCAGAGGTCTGCTGGAGCCTGCCCACTCTGTCCAGGAAGCCACGGGCCTGGGAGCACCGGGACGCCCCTCACAACCCCTGAGGGCAGTCCCACTGGTCCATGGGCCCTGAGGTGGTCACACGGGTGACCCCACAGTCAGGGCTCCAGCAGAGAAAACAGAAAGTAAGCCATAGTGCAGAGTTATTCAGCCCTGAAGGTGGGCCTGACCCCTCCATCTAGGACACCGCCCTGTCCCCTCCATCCCGCCAGCCTGCAGACATCATATTTCTCCCACTGGAAACACCTTCTCACCACCCTGGGTCCATATGGCCACTCCCAGCTCCCTCCACCAAGCTGCTTGGGCGCATGTCCTGTCCGTGTCCACCGCTCCCCTTCCTATAGGGCACCCCAGCCCCCCTGTCTCTCCCTCAGCTCACTTGCAGCCACCTGTGTATGCTCCATGCTATCCAGACCACTGTGCTCAACAGACATTGCAACCCAGCTTCTGGAGGCTCGGGGACTCAGCGGTAACGCTTCACCTGGCATGTCCTTCCCAGGTTTCCATACCGCGGCCCCTCCCCTGCTCCCATCCTCGTCTGTTCCTTCTCAGAGAGGCAGCCGGTCTGTCCTACTGTACTTACCATACACACATCTTGTTGTGTGTGTTTGCAGTGTCAGGACCTGTGTCAAGGCGGCCCCATCTGCCCGGAAATCCTCCCTCCCTCTTCTCTTCCTCCCTGAGAATTTCAAGTCCTTCTCCGGCCACTAGAATATAGGTGGTTTCCTCTAAGAGCTATTTTCTCCAGTCACTAGAATACAGGTGGTTTCCTCTAGGAGCTATTTCTTGAGGAGGTAAAATGTGTTCACCCAAACTGGTCCATGTTCAGTGTCATCTCATGGGCTCATTTTGGTCCAGCAAGGCAAGCTCCACGTGACTCCGCGAAGGACGGAGAGTGTCATGTTCGTCTTGCCTACAGCTGTGTCCCTAGGACCCAGGACAGAGCCCGGCATAGAAAAGGAGGGCTGTGGAAGCGGGAAGATTCCCTGACCATTGGTGACTGACTCTGGGGCCCAGGCCACCTTGCTGACCCTCCCGGGCCACTGTCCAGTGGTGCTTCCATTTTCCTCTTTGAAATGAACACCCGAAGGCCCATTCCAGGATGCATGGGGTTCTCTGATGAGCTTGATTTGTCTCACTTGTCTTTATCGAATTGTCACCAGGTGCAAGAATTATCCATTTTTATCATCCCAACATGTTCACTGATTATAACAGTAGGTTGCCATGTTAAACATGACCCAGTAAGGGGAAATAAAATATGTTTCACCCAGACTGTCAAGACCAAAGTCAAGCAACATTCATTTTCTATAGATGACACATAAATGTTTAAGCCAGTCCCTTTCTAGATGATGTTATGATTTTGGGGGTAGCGAAGACATTAGGAAAGATCATATGACACTTCAATTAAAAATGCCCTTTTGTTTCTCCCCCAAGCCTGTCCAAGCTCCCATGGTTCACCGAGGAAACTGCCTTATTAAGGGAATAATAGGTTCCATGCTTGCCTCAGCCAAGAAACAGTGCCTGCAGTTAATTAATCTTTCTGGGACTCTGACCTATTTGAATTTGGCCAAAACGCCCTAAGAGGGGATTTTCTTGACACATATGACTCAGTTTCAACGGGGAAGAACTGGCGTCTTCTCAAGTACAATGTCCTCATAATAGTTTCTACCAGCCTGGCCTTGGGGTTTGTTGTCTTGAGTAAAATGAGGGGATGGAGTCAGGCTGAGCATCTCGAAGGGTCAAGGTGAGGGGGACCCTCTCTACACTCACTCTGACCATCAGCCAGTCCAAGAGTAGGGCTGTGTGTGTGTGTGTGTGTGCGTGTGTGCATGCATGCATGTGTGTATCCATGTGCACATGTATGCATGCATGTACATGGGTGTGTGCACGTGTATGAATTATACTGCCCACACATTTGGTCTCAAAGAGCAAGGCAACTTCGCACTTATAGGATCTCATCTTTTCTTCCAAAAATCTATACATGGTTTATAAATTAATCCCATTTATTAAAAGATCAGTGAATCCCTGATATCTTCTGCAAATTGTGCTTGTGTGTTTACACATTGTTCAAGAGAGAGGGTCTGAAGCTGATGTCTGATTCTCAGAAAGGTCTAGCCTTGCTCCAAAATTAAGAACCACTGATTTAAATAAAAGGAAGAAAAAGTGGTGGTCAGGAGCCCTATCTCTGGAGGTGAACTGGCTAAGACATTTACCCTCTGCAAATCTCCTTAAGGGAACCACAATCTCTTTCCCATGGGACATTCCTAGGAGTAAAGGATGTGAGGCAAGTATAACACTGTGAAGGTGTGGAGGCACTAACAGTGTTGAGCGAATAACGAACACTAGTTTACACTGTGTTTATACATCCCACCCACTGCGGAACCAGTTGGAGGTGAGGCCAGGGAGTGGGGGAACTCTCCTGACTTTGACTCAAGTTCGTGGCACTTGGGTGCTGCTGTCTGGAGGTGTCACCTGCCCGCAGACTGAAGGCAGGATGTGACCTCCTAGTATCTTTCATCTCAGAGGCATGGCTGTGAGAATAACACTGTCTGTGACCAGAGTGCTGAAAGAGCCTCCAGGGAGGGCACCACACCTGAGGATCCCCTGACCCCTCCTGGGGGTCTTGTCATGAAGCCGACCACGACCAGCACCCTGGCCTTGGGGAACCACAGGGTTATTCATGGTGCTCAACAGACCGCAGGTCTCCAGAGCCATGTTTGGGAGCAGTCTACTTCCCGCAGCCAAGCAGAGGGAAGGAGACCTTGGTTCTGGCCCCATCATAGCCCTTCCC